CGTGTCGCCTCATCTGCTGTCTGCAGAACTGCACCTCTCCCACAGAGGGTGACACGGGACCCTGCTTCTCCCTCCATCATGGGCCGGGACCGGACCGCTGATGTTGCGCAGGATGGGGTGAGTGTATCTCGACAACCCCCTCAGTCACCTTTCAGCCCTGCGGTACCCGAGTCCCAGGCTTCGGCCTGTTCACTGGACCTTGATTCCCCTGCTTCCTCACCACTGGGAAGCGAGATAGTGGCCATATTTTCTAGCCAGCATAGTGGCCCCGAACCCGAGGACGCCAGCCCCGCTCACTCGCCAGCAATCCATCCTGATCCACCACAATATTCGAGTGATGCAACCCTAATAGCTTGTTTCGCTGATTTACTGCAATGCAAACTGGATAGAGCTACTTCAAAATTGGCGGCCGACCTCAAACAGGATTTTCAGGAGTTGGGCCAGTGCCTACCCAGTATTGAGGCTAAAGTTGATACGGCAGTTCATAGAGCTTCCCAAAACTCTAATATGATTACCGACTTGCAAGATCGCTTGGAGGAGGCTTACTCTAAAATTGATGATTTGGAGAATCGGGCTAGGCACTATAATTTCCGCATTCAAGGTCTCCCTGAATCGGTTAAAGATCTCACTAGCTCACACACCCTCATGCGATCTGCAATACCTGATATCGATGATCTCCATACTGAAATCGATCGTATCCACAGAGCGCTGATTCCCCCTAGACAAGGCGGGCCTCCTAGAGATATCATCGTAAAGCCTCATTTTTTCCAGGTCAAGGAAGCGGTAATGAAGTATAGCAGAGAGACTCCGGATTTGGATTTTGAAGTTCATAAGATACAAATTTTCGCTGATGTTTCTCCGACCACTATCCAGAAACGTAATGAAGAGATTAGGGATGCTTTGAAATCTCTTGCTCCTTATAAATCCCCAGGACCGGATGGTCTTCCTCACAATTATTACAAAGTTTTCCCTGATATCCTGGTTCCCCATATGGTTCAATATTTTAATTATCTACGGGATGGGGGACTGGTGCCCCCCGACGAAACTAAGGCTTTCATTAGTGTCATCCCCAAACCCCTCATAGATGTTTCTATAGTTTCCAATTACCAGCCCATCTCATTAATTAATTGTGATCTAAAGATTCTCACTAAAATTTTGGCCTTACGCCTCCATAAATTCCTAGCACTGTATGTTCATGATGATCAGTCAGAATTTATCAGCGGTCGACAAACATCAGACCAAATTCGCCGGACTTTAGCTTTGCTGTCAGTCGTACATTCTAATTGGGACAAATCTTCACAGAGGGAAATTTTATTGTTATCGTTGGATATTCATAAAGCGTTTGACAGTCTATCGTGGGACTACCTATTTCAGATGTTAGATAGGTTTGGGTTTGGCCATTCTTTCACGACCTTGCTATGGGCCCTCTATTCTAATTCTTCAGCTCAAGTTTCCATTCGTGGTTATAAGTCAGCCTCCCTGTCGATAGGGCGTGGTACTAGACAGGGTTGTCCTCTCTCTCCACTATTATTCGCTCTGGCAATGGAACCACTTGCGATCGCTCTGATCCCACTATTTCGGGCATCCGCTGTGGTCAGCGGGATCATAAATGCGCTCTATTTGCTGATGATGTCCTTATGTACATATCTGATCCTCGCACTTCTTTATCCGGTCTCCTTCACCTGTTTCATCGTTTCTCAGAGGCCTCCGGTCTTACTCTTAATTCCTCTAAAACAATTGCCTTAAATATTTTTGTTGCCTGACTCGGAGGTTCGTTACCTTCAGGACAATTTTGATTTCCAGTGGGCCCCTCGTTCTCTCCCCTATTTGGGGATTCACCTCACAAAATCTTTTTCATCCTTGTACAAGACCAATTATCTTCCACTCTTCAAGTGACTTAAATCTGATTTACTAGAATGGCAAAATCTCCCACTTTCCTGGTTTGGTAGAATCCACTCTATTAAAATGACTTTTTTACCGCGCCTATTGTAATACTTTAGGACATTACCGATCATGATTCCCAAACGGGAACTGCTATTACAGGCTGCAGTCTTTAGATATATTTGGAGGGGAAAGCGTCCTAGGGTCAACAGGTCAACTCTCTTTTCCCTAAAGAAGCATGGCGGTTTGGGATTTCCTAATCTCCTAGCTTATTTTCATGCTGCTCAGATAGCACAGTTAACTTGTACTACAGCCAGGGGTTATGTCCCCCAGTGGGTTGCCATTGAGGCCTTATCCTGCCATCCTTATGCTATTGGTGCTCTTATGTGGCTCCCCAGTCGCTTACGTCCTCCTATTTTGTGTCCTACGCTGTCCTATTCGTTGATGGTTTGGGACAGATGGCGGGCTTGCAAACCTTTCTTCTCCCCACATACTCCATTAGCTCCAGTTTTTTATAATCCTGAGTTTATTCCTGGGATGTCACCATCAGTATTTCAATGGTGGTTGAATAAGGGTTTGCTGCATATTGGAGACTTCCTGGATGGACTTCGTCCTCGTTCTCTCCAGTATTTTCTGACGCAGTAACAGATGCCTCCCGGAGAATTGTTTTGCTATTATCAAATTATCTCATTTATCTCTAGCAAACTTAAATTAATCGGGGAACCTTGTACACTCACTCCTTTAGAAGTCTCCTGTGGGGCAACTGGGTTGATGAGGGGTCGTTTGTCCATTGTCTATGCTTCCCTTGTCGATCCTCTCACTAAATTATCCTATATGACTCAATGGGAAAGGGACTTGAATAGCTCCTTAGATCTGGAAACTTGGCAGACTGCGGCCCATTCTCTATCAAAGATATCAATTTAATACTGCTCTTATTGAATCCAATTACAAAACGCTACTTCGTTGGTACTTGGTTCCTACGCGCCTCGCTAAAATATGTCCTTCAGTATCCACCTAATTGCTTCCGGCACTGCAGACAAGAGGGAACTATGTTCCATATTTGGTGGAAATGTCTGGTAGTGAATAGATTTTGGATCCGAATGTTTAATTTTATCTACTCGGTTACAGGAATTAATATTCGTAGAACACCGGAAGTGGCCTTATTTCATCTGCTACCTACTACCGTTCCCAAAAAATCAACTATACTAATTCATTACCTCTTACTGGCGGCATGTATTACCATAGCTAGAAGTTGGAGACAATCATTGATTCCGCTAGACGGGGTTAAACAAAACTTAATTGGATAATGGTAAATGATAAGTTAACTAGCATTGTCAATAATGATGAATCTAGATTTGAGGGAATGTGGGAACAATGGATGAAATATATCTCCATTGCTTAACAACGCCGCAGCTGACGCTCTCATTTTCTCCCTCTTCCCCCCCCCCCTCTTTTTTTTTGTCTTTCCTTTTTCTTTTCTTCTCTCCATCTTGTCTTATCCTAGATCTTTTCTTTCAATCTCCCTATTCTTAACTTTTTTTCTTTTGAATTGGGGTTTTATATTGGTGGTTAATTTCTCTGGCAATGCCCTTGTCCATCGTCTGCTGGAACGTTTGCTACCCGGTGAGAATGCTGGTTTTTATATATATGCTTATATGTTCTATGACTGTTTATTCTCACCATTTCACCATGTGGGCGGAAATGTTATTGCTCCTATGCATACCACTGTAAACCAATTCTCAATAAAAATATTGAAATATAAATCTGCTAGTACATCTAGCACTCCCCTCCCCCCAGACTGACAATGCTGTTGTCCAAAGGTGCCTCTACGCTTCCAGATTCCCATAAGCTTCCTACTGCAGATCCCCATAACAACCCAGCCAGGGGTGTGTGGAAGAGGTTCTTGTATCTCTCAACATGGTACCTTGCCCCATGTTAAGGGGATTTGGCCTGGAATGGTTCAGAGGTGAGGCTGTATGCTTGTCCCCCCATTTTCTTGCTTGCTGGCTGAATGCTCGGAAGAGGTCTGGGATGTATTTTTAGGAGGTACCAGTGATTTTGCATGGTACCATTCATTATCATTATCTTTTTTTTTCTGCGTGAGGTCATCCTTGGACCTTTAGGCCTGAAGGGCCTGGTATAGGGAACTCCCATGTGGGTTTTAGCAGTCAAGCAGTCTTTAAGATCAGATCCTTTTTTTTCGGCAGCCCAGGAGACATTGTGATTCACATAGATCTATATCACTGGAAGATATTTTTTGTTTTTGTTTTTGTTTACACTTTATATATTTTTTGCAAATGAGTAGAGGTATGTAACCTTATTCTAATCAACATGAGGACAAAGTACTTTTCCAGGGGTACACCCCATGTTGAAGGAATGAGACCTATTATGGTTCAGAAGAAGGTGCATACTGTTCCCCCTCCCCCTACTCTGGCCAGCCAGGCTGCATGAGCAGATAGGGGTCTGGTGTGAATTTTTAGGGGAGACCTTGCACCACATTTTTTGTATTTGTTGCATATTTTTAGGTCCCCCTGAAACACACATCCGAATTGGTATGAATTATGTTAGAATTACATGCCTTTTTTTTTTTCTTTTTTTTTTTTAATCAAAACATATTTCTAAATTTCTAGATATGGTTATGGTTTGTTTTCTTGTAACCATTAGCAAAGAAAGTAAACATAATTAAAGTCTCTCTGGAGCTGTATGCAAAGTGTCTCCGCCTATCTGCTATATTAAATTGAGTCAGCATAGATTCTTCCTTAACACCATGAAGCACTTGGATCACTAATTAACAACCTGTTTTATATCCTTTGGTTGATGTTTAGCTGAACCTGCCTTGGCTTTAAGACGCGCTGCTGACTATAAGAAGTCTACAAGAGCAGATGAAGAATACAGCTTGACTTCAAAAATCTTTTCATTAGTGTATTATAAAATGTGTTGTTTTTAAAGTATACCGGCTGCCCCTGGGGAGAGAAAAAAAGTAGAGCTGTATTGTATTGTTTTGCAGTCTGATTCCTTAGCTACTAGAGCTCTGTAAGGTCAGTCAGAAGAAATCCCAGGCTGGTAGCAACAAGAAACAACAAAAGAAACCTGATTTACCTAATCAAGTGGACAACAAAATGAGTGTAACAGAAATTCCTACAACTAATGCAAGTACTACTCCATTTAATCCTATCTGCAGGAACAGACAAGCACCATACGCCTATGAGATCCTAGAAAGTAAGTAAACGTTTTCTAGTTTTGTAATGTTTTAAACACAATCAAACTTCTGTGCAGGTTCATCTTCAACATCAGTGTAATAATGAGGAAATGAAATTGTACAGACAGTAGGGGTTATGTCAGCACACATACCCAAAACCATGTATTTATACAAATAATAATTGTATTAGTTCATAAATCAATCCTTTCTGTTAAAAGATGGGATATGGTACTCACATTATCCACAAAATGGAGGGTGTTTTATACCATTTTGTACAGAAAGGATTTCTTTTCTTTACTAATAAAATTATATTTTTGTTCACATTTGTTTTGGGGTTTGTGTAATGAGTGCTGACAGATAAATCCCTACTCTGTGTATTGTAATTCTGGTTCTCATGTATAATAGGGAGGCCAGCACTATCATGAGAAAAATATTGTCTCCACTCCAAACTAGATGATTTCTAAGCAGGAGGAAAGCCACATGGTAGATATATTGTGTAAAATGCAGGCCTTGTTATGCCTTTCTTCACTAACCTCACAGTTTTCACAGTAGAAGAATGGTTTCAGAATAGTTATTTTACCTATATTCGATATCTTTGTGTGCATATATTGAAAGCACAAGGGTTTTGCTTGCATGTAACCTGATGTTAGCCTAAAGTCTACTTTTTTAGCTTTGGATTGCATGGGGAAGCATTGGTACCCCTGTCAGTTTTTTTGTTATATGTGTCCTTGCTGGGTAATTCACCCTCTCTTTTTGTCCTGGTGATGATAAAAATAATGGAAAATTCCAGATTTTACAGTTGTCACCAGAACAAGAAGTGAGGGTGAATCTTACAATGGAGACAGATGTTCTGGTGACAGCTGGGAATTTTAATTTTATGGATATTTTTTATTACTAATTGTTGTATCTGAAGGACAGGAAGTGACACAGACAACAAAAAATAAGTTGAAAGGGGTTTAAATACCCCCAATTCTATCCAGCCTGAGATTCCCAGGATGCTGTATTAGGCATGTCTACTTCAAGAAACTGGAGGCTTACAGTTACAACCCAACTCCTTGCTATTGGCTCATCGCTGTGAATAGGAAGGCTCACTAACAAACAGTTTTGTTACAATTTACTCTGTAATGGTTATGTGTTACCGACAAAAGTCAGTTTGCAGCATTTTACTGATCAAAAAAATGTGTTTGTTCAGTCTGTGTAGGAGCAAATTAAGGCTTAGTGTAATAAATTAAATTATGGAAGTTGCCAAGATAAATACAGCATGTCTTGGAAAATTCTCATTTATCCTGGTCATGGTACAGCTAGTCACATTTAGCTGAGCTTGTTTTTTTAATGTTGAAGTCATTCAAGATCTATGTACTACTGATTGTCAAGAACAAACCCCACCAGAATTTCATTATTTTATTGATAATTTGGCAATGTCAGCATAAATGTAATAAGTAAAAATGATAGCTAAAGAATTACCTCCAATTTATGCTCTAAAGACTTGTACTTAACCCTTATGTTTTTTCAGAACATAAATGAAAGTTTCATGGATGTATTAGTTGACTCACCTTTCAAAATGTTCTTTCTCTGTGATGACTTAGCTTATCTTTACCCCCCCACCCCCTCCACACACACACACACACACACACACACACACACACACACCCCACACACCACCTCACACACACACACACACACACACACTCTATTTATGGAACTTTTATTTGTAGTTTTACCCAAAGCAGATATATATATAATTTTTTTTTTTTAACAACCAAGACATTCAAAGTGCAATGGTTAAATAGATCTATGTGTTATAGAGTTACTGTTGATTTTTTTTTTTTGAAAACTTGTGTTCAGTGTCAAAGAATGAGCCTACCAGCAATTCTAACACATCCTCATCAAAATAATGAATTTATTTTGGGCCTGATTTAACTAGCTATTTGACTTTTCCTAGAGAAGTCATCCTTTCATTTGTTACATTTTTTTAAGAGTTTTGAAAATGGTTTATTTATTATTAATTACAGGTACATATATAGAGCCCTCAATTTACGCAGCGCTTTACTTATATATTGTACATTCACATCAGTCCCTAACCCTCAAGGGGCATACAATCTAAGGTTCCTAACTTACATTCTTACATACACACAGTAGGGCCAATTTAGACAGGAGTCAATTCACCTACCAGCAGGAAGGTGGTGCCGTGTTTGAGATTCAAACCAACGACCCTAGTACTGCCAGGCCCAAGTGCTAATCTTCACCTCTGACTAGGAGAGCATGCTGTCAGGGAACTGGCTAGCTGTGAGGGAACTTGCATACTTATGCGGAAGTGAAAGATTCCTGTAAGCCCTGCTCTTGGTGGTTTAGCGGGTTCTCAAGCGTGCAGGTGCATTGGAACCAGGTGGGCTATTTAAACAGCACTGGTTACTTGTGTCAGTGCCATTTGGTCTACTACATTTCCTAGCATCTGTGTATCTGTTCCTCTATTGCACTTCTGTTGCTGACCTGATTTGCTCTTGACTCTGCCTGAACACTGCCCACACCAACCCCTGGTTTGGCACCTGACTACTCTTCTGCCTACTGTTTATGCATCCACCAGTGCAGAAGTCTTATCAGGCACGCATGTTACTCTGTTCTCTGGCGCTCCTTGTTACTTTACCAGGGCTCCTTAGCCAGAACTGTAGAGAGACCTTCCTCTGCACTTCATGCTCCATCACCAGGTACATTACAGTACCAAACAGCCATGTCGGAGCCCAAAAGAGGGGTCTGCCCACTTGATGAGATCTGCCAGCACATTTCTGCACTGACTCAGGCTGTCAAGAATCTGCAAGAGGGATATACAGAGCTCAACAGCCATCTCCAATCCCTGCCTGCACCTTCTGCTTGTACAACCTGCACAGTCTCTTTATCAGCACCTTCTGCATCCCAGGCCTCTGTTCTCGCACCTCCTAAAGCCATGATGCTTTCTCCTGAGCCAGGGGTTTCCACACCAGAAAGATTTTCCAGTGATCGGACTAAGCCTTGTGCACTCCACAACACGTCAGCTATATTTTGCGTTGTAGCCCGCACCTTCTCACTGGAAACCACCAAGGTGGGATGTGTTCTCTCTCTACTACAAGGAGAACCTTAGACCTGGGCATTTCGTCTCCAGGAGAGAAAAGATGTCATGTTGTCTACCCTTAAGAGAGGTTCTTTGACACCATGGACCAACTATACGATGACCTGCAACATTCAGCTTCTACAGAGGCAGCTCTCCATTCTCTCCGGCAAGGCCGCAGATCGGTTGAGAACTATGTGACTGAATTCAGACGCTTGAGTTCTGATACCTGCTGGAATGACCCTGCCCTGCATTATCAATTTCACTTGGGATTCTCTGAGCCCCTAAAGGATGAACTGGCCATGGAAGGGGTGCCAAGCTAATTTTGAAGGACTGATTGATTTTTCAATGCAGATTGACAGGCGATTTAGAGTGTCGGATTAAGAGATCCACTGGCCAAGCTAATCCCATGCAGATGCTGCCCAAGGTGCCATCTTCAGCTACTCCAGCACCCTCAGCTGCAACTATACAGTTGGGCCTCCTGAGTCCCTCACATACACCAAAAGAACGTCAGCAGTGGCGACTGAAAGACATGGGCCACTACATGAGGAATTGCCTGACAAAACTCTGCAAGTGCCTGTCTATCTCTTCTACCAGTAAACTATCTGCACTGTCTGCACTGGCTCAAGTAACTCTTCCCATTTCTTTTCAGCTTCCCAAAAGGGTCCTTCCAGCGTCCCCTATTATTGATTCAGGGGCCTGCAGCTGCTTCATAGACCTGTCTTTTGTTGCCCAGCACCAGATTCTCCTTCAATCCAAGGCCCAAGAACTCTCTGTTTATCTTGTTGATGGGTCCAGTATTAAGTCTGGGTCTGTAACACAAGAAACCATGCCTCTACCAGTTACTACTTCTTTCTTGGCCCACAAAGAACTGTTGCGCCTGGATGCCATCTTGTCATTCCTGTACCCTGTCATCCTGGGTATGCCATGGCTACAGGCACATAATCCCTGTATCAAATGGGTGACAGGGGAAGTGGTCTTTCATTCCTCCTATTGCCAGAAGCATTGCCTTTCGAGATGTTCAGTTCAGACCTCATCCCTGCTGTGTATAGACTCTGACAATGAACTTCGTCTAATGGTTTTTGAAGTGTATCATGAGTTCCTAGATATGTTCAACAAAAAAGGAGCTGACACTCTGTCACCTCACAGATCCTATGATTGCCCCGTTGGACTATTACCTGGGGCAAACATTCTATTTGGTCAGATTGAAGCTTTGAAAGAATACCTGGATGACAGGCTCAGCTTCAGCAAAGGATTCATTCAGACATCTATTTCTCCTTCCAGAGCAGGGATTTTCTTTTATGAAGAAAAAAAAAACATTCCCTCTGGCCATGTGTGGACTATAGAGAGTTAAATAAAATTTCAGTAGAGAACCAATACACCCTTCCCTTAATCCCTTGAACTGTGCCAGAGGCTCAGATCTGCCGCAATCAAAATTGGATTTGCGGGATCCAAATTGGATTTGCGGGGGCCTATAACCTTGTAAAAATTAGGGAGGGGGATGAAAACAAGACGGCCTTCTGCACACAGTTTGGCCATTTTGAATACCTGGTGATGCCCTTTGTGCTGTGCAATGCGCCAGCCACTTTCCAATACTTTGTCAATGACATTTTCAAGGACTTTCTGGACATTTTTGTTAGTCTACCTTGATCATATACTGATCTTTTCCATTTCTTTGGAACTCCACTGTGTTCATGTTAAAAAGGTCCTGGGCCAGCTCCAACACTGGTTGTATACCAAACCAAAAAAATGTGAATTTGAGCAACACACAATTCAGTTCCTGGGGTTAATCATCTCTTCAGATGGGATCAAGATGGGTCTACAAAAGGTATCTGCCATCTTGGTCTGCCCCAACAGATAAAAAAAGGAATTCAGTGCTTCATCAGGTTTGCAGACTTCTATCAGAAGTTTCATCAAGGGGTTTTCTGCTATCATTGC